CTATCTAATTATTATGGTTACAATTAATAATGACATGCATTTTTAAATTTTCGAATTCGAAAGATCGCCGATTATGTCGTAAAATTGATCTATATCGACTGAAAGATCTCTCAACTTCGACTGATGTTATAGGACAATATTGCACGTTGACTATGTCTGAAGGAGAAAGTTCTACAGTATTATTTTGTACTTTTTTAAACATGGGCAAGTCTGTATTAATAAATAATAAATCGTAAATGAAAAAATTATCGAAATATCGAAATATGTAGGAAAAATGGAATTATTGAGAAATATGTAAAAACATGTACTTATGGCAAAATATGTAAAAATATGTAAAATAAAATATAGTTCATTTTATTGGAAATCCCTTGAAACGAATTTATCACTTACCTAAATTAATTTATCAAGTCACAGTAAAAATATGTATTTACATATAAATCCGAGCCCTAATGATAACAATATTTCATTTATTGGAGTTCGTACAGATGGGTCTAACCACGGTGCTGTGAAAATTTTTTCGACTGAAAAATTCAAAGTAGTAATAAATATTAAATTCTTAAACATACCTATATTATATTAATCAAATACCCGTGTACCTAATTAAAATTATTAATAAAAACTAATTTTTTACCAAATGTATCATATACCTATGATAATATTATGAATTTCTGTATTAAGTATTCATACATAGTTTAGTATATAAAATGTCTTGTTAATTAAATAAATATTAACTATGCAATCAGAGTTTTTATATTATGTACTCTTTTCTAAAAGACACAGGGTGGTAACCCTACTTGAAACCATTTTTCATATCATCGCCACAGGATTCTACTTAAGTAGTACAAAAAAATATCAGAGATTTGAAATATGATCTTTAAGTCTACTTAAAAATTCTAAAAAATCAGAATTTGAAAATATGTACTATTAAAGAAAAATTGGGGGTGAGCTTAAAAAATCATTCTGTATAAAAAGGAAAATAATTAGTTGTTTTATGAAATGCGCACACACGAAAAATTATAATAGGTACCTACCAAGTAATAATTTAATAAAACGAGCTATCATTTAAATCCGGGGCTATCGACTATTGAGCCAATACCTAATAAAAACTAATACATTTAAAATAGGAATTATAATTAACCCTAAGAACATTTAAATTTAATATTAATTATGATAATCAGATAAAATTGGGTAGGTACCTAACCTCACCTATACAGATATTTTGTATTTTTGTTTATTTATAAGTGTGTTGGATGGTCTCTGATCGGTGACAATTATTAATATAGACCACTTTCTATATAGGTACCTACTTGCCGTTACTAATTATATAGGTAATACGAAATACGAATACTACCTACTTGTAACATGTAACTATAGGTACCTACTCAAATATTTACTATTTCACTATTTTCTTACCCAGTTATTGTTGAACAATTCAGTATTATTAAACATTTCTAAAATAATAGGACGATTTTTCATCTGTATTAATGTTGTTAATCCAGTCATTAGTAATACTAGTATCTGCAAAACGTATAACATATAAAATTGTGCCCTGTATATAATAATATATAAATGTAGTTACGTCTAATATTGTAAATAATCTATATTTTATTCTGAATTATTAAACATAAACATACAGGATATATATTATAGCGGATCACAAATTAAAAGAACTACCCATTTTCTCCTACAAGCAGTAGACTCCCTTTTCAGATGGTCTTCAAATACTGGTTTCAGCTTCTCTCCCATCAAAACTCAGTTCATCATATTCAACTAAAAGAATAAGGACCCTTAACCGACAATAAACTTCAAGAATACACAGCTCTTTTTACGAAAAATATTCGAATCCTTGGCCTCATCTTCAACCACAAACTTACCTGGTGACCTCACCTCAAAAAATTTTAAATTGCCAATCAGGAATAAAGACGATCAAAATACTTGGAAACAACACCCGTGAATCCGACACAAAGAGTCTTATCACAATGTACAAGTCCCCAATACTTTCAACAATTGACTACGGAATTGTATATAATCTACAACTCGGCTCAAGATAAAGTCCCAGGTACTCTAGACCCCATCCACAACCGAGGCATTCGTCTAGCCACAGGAGCCTTCAACACGAGTCCCGTAAATCGTCTCCTATTCTAAAGTATGCAACTAAAATTAAAAATTTGTCCTCTGACAGTCCAACCGGTATTGTCCGAGTTGCGGTCGCAATAGACGAATTGCGGTCTTAATAATATTGAAGGTAAAATTAACATCTTAATTGCAGTCAGTATCCGGTTAACGATTAATGGTTACACTACGTTTTTAGATTGACTTTTCTCCCTCCAGATGAAGTGGGAAATGTGTTTTTAGATTTAATCGCCGAACAACCTATAGATTCAAGAGTTACTGAATTTAGTGACTATTTAGTCGATGATTATATTGGCAATGATGCTACTTTTCCAACCACACTCTAGGCAGCTTTGAACAATGATGTTTGGAGAACGAATAATGGAAGTGAAGCGTTCAATTCTAAGTTCAAAACTGAGAACCGATCGCAACATCCCAACATATTTGAATTTTTGAAATGTGTCAAAAATATTCAGATTGATACATATTCAAAAATCAATTCAGTAGATTTGGAAACTAATAAAAAAAGCGAGTGCATAAATCAGAAATTTACTAAAAATAAAATACAACAGTATTTTAAAAAACAAATTGACTCGCTGACATTTGTGAAATGTGTATTATACAAATATGAACCGGTTTAATATTACAAATGTAAATATATAATTATTTTAAAACCTAATAATTATTAATCATATTTTTTTTACCGCAACTAGGATTTTTACCTATTTTGATATTTTACCTGTTTTGATCCCGACCGCAACTCGGATTTTTTTTTTACCTGTTATAATCTCGACCGCAACTCGGTATCAACCGTCCAACCACATTACCACTAATACCTTTCAAAATTAATTACCCACCACCCACTCAAACCACAATATTCAAAAACTAAAAATCAATTAGTAAAAACCTATCATTCCAAACACAAACACTAAATAAAATCCGGCCTTCTCTTCCCTCTTGGCTCTGGTCAACAACCATCAATACCCAACTGACTGAATTCTGCAAATAAATACGGACAATTCAATGTTGTCCTCTCGTCCAAATGTACTCACACCTAAAATGGCTGCGTCTCAATGACTTCGGGTTCAAATGGCCGCGTCCATTTTTGTCCTTGTTCGTAAGAGAAGAGGGAAGCAATCTTTACCCGAGCGCCCCGAACCAAAATAGGCTCCTCACATCTAACCCACGCTCACCTCACTACAAGAGAACCAGCACCAATAATATGTGATACATGCAATGAAACACTAACAATAGATCACATTGTTATTTGTTGCAAATTGTAACAAATACACTGAAGCCCTCAAGATCCTCAACAACCCTCTCAAACTTCACCCAGTACGCAACGAAGAGAAAACGACCGCAATCATCACATTTTTCCGAATTATAAACTTACGCCACTAATTATAGTTCTTAAACATGTCAATATTTGTATACACTATCTCTTTTTAAATTTAATGTATATTAGTTTGGGAGTTTACCAATTGCGCTTAAAATGACCTTTTAACATACCAATTGCGCTCTGTCTTTTTTGGGTTGATAGACCAATTGCGCTCAGTTGTTTTCAGGGTTTATAATATTTTTACAATAAACGTTAATATTAATAATAATTGTACAATATAAATCTATACCAAATTATACACATAGATACAAGTCAATAATACATAATTAATAATATACATAAAAATATAAAAATATAATTACAATTTATGTTTCCATTTAATGTTTTTTATATTTTACTGTAATAATAAGAAACTGGTTTTAAAAATTCTTTGCTAGTAATTTTTCCGGATTTGTATTTCTCAATAATAGATTCTATGGCCACTTTTTTCACTAAATATGCTCGGTTTGGTGTATATTTATCTTCTTCAGTACTGTTTATTGCAGTATAGGTAAGTGTTGGTTTGTGTTTCTATAATTGCTTTTAAAAAGACAAAAATATTTGGATGTGAGGAATAAAAATTTGATGAAAACCTTCACATGCATTGGTTAGGTTAGGTTACGTACGTTCAAAGCTTATTGTATTCGATGCCCACAGTATGGGAGGGAATGTAGAGGTTGATGATATATCATTTTCAACGATATAGTCAGTGAATTTAGTAATATTTGAATTCGTTGGCTAAATTGTCATTAATTCATTTATAAAAACATCCTCCACTTCATAGTGTGGAAAAAGTGACAAGCCAAAAATTAAATGTAGCCATTTTCCTATTTCAGAATCTATGTTTTTATACTCAGCTTATAGTCCATATCTTTGGATATTCCTCCACTAAGCTTGTGTGAAATGAAACCTACAACCTACCAGAGTTATTGAAGGCCAAACTTTTTAAACAGCAAAATGAATCGCTTGTTCAAAATTGGCAACGACTGTTTTTGGACTAAAATAAAGGTTAAAAGTTGCACATTTACTGTGTATATTCATATGTAACTTTTTCCGCCGTGTAGTAACTTACATATTATGCCCATGCAAAAATAAGGAACCTACAATATAAGTAGCGCAATTGGTGTACTGACCTAAAATTTAAGCGGCGCAATTGGTATACTGACCTAAAATTTAAGCGGCGCAATTGGTATACTGACCTAAAATTTAAGCGGCGCAATTGGTATACTGACCTAAAATACAAATATTGTTTTAGGCGCAACTGGTCCATGCCCATTAGTTTATATCTCCTTCTTTAATACCTAGTTAATACAGGCTAAAAACTTTTGTTGTGGAAGCCTAAATAAACTATAAGAAAAAAAAGGAATATCAATTATTCACCATGCTGCATAATAATATTATTATAAGTGAGCCTAACGAAATACGCCTCTAAAAATTAGAATTGCCTAACTAGGTTAGTAACTACTAAGTATAAATACTATAAGTACTTACTGATACTACTAGATTCAAATTTATGTTAAAAAATCCAAACGCCGTTATTTCATCCAATTCCGAAATTGAAATTTGGTTCATAAATAATTTTATCTATTCGAAGAATTGCAAAAAATGTAGGTATTATTCTAAATAAAATTATCAGAATACATTTTACCTGGTTTTTTATGCCAACTGGTAAATTTGAAATCCGATTTGACCTTAAATACGATATGATTTTCTTCTTCTATAAAAATGTATGTACAATATTATCATATAATGTAAAGTAAATAGTTAATTATTTAAATGATTATTAATTATTTATCTAAACGTTTGAGGGTTATAATGTGGATTAGGTATACTTAAGAACATTTCGTATCATGAGTCCGACGTGTGTTTCTGTAAGAAATAAATATTATTTTCAGCAATAACTTTTTAGATTTTGAACAGGTTTATGAACGCATTGGTTTTACCATAATACATGTTTTCATTCGTCCAGCTTCACCTGTTTGTAACTATTTTAATTTGACATTAAACTTTAAGGATGGTTTACTCTGGAAATTTGAATACAGTTGGTATCTACTTTTTTGGGTATAGGGGGATCTAAGGTAAAAACATTAATTTATAAATGTGGGAAAGTGTCGAGTGAGTGAGTGACTATAATGGCGAATGGGTGTGTTAAACTGTTAAATACTTAAACTTGATTCAAAAATATATCATACAAAAAACGATTCTGAGCGTAACGAATGAATGTATTGCATTTACAATAACGTTTGTTTTTTGGTCATCAACAGTAAAAATGTTCCGATTTTCAACATTAGCATAATATCTGATGGTAAATAAATGATAAATAAATCTAGTTAGTACTTTTGAGAGGTCAATATTGAAAATTCCCAAAAGTTATTAATATCAATTGATATAAAAAAAAACGGTAATTTATTATATAGATAAAAACTAATTTTTGAAAACTCGAGACCTAGGCTCTTGAAATTTTCAACAAATATTTATATTAGAATTTTCCATGTATGGTAACATTTTCAAGACTTTTTGAGCTGTTAATAGCGTAAAAATTTTTTAGAATTTTGTACATTTTTTTAAAAATAATTTTCGATAAAAACTTTTTCACTGAGTAAAACAGTTTAGAAATTTAGAAAGCGAAGGATCCTCATAAAATACTCTAATAACTGATCAAAAATATTAAAAATACATAGACAAGATTATGTTTTATATGCATATAAATTCATACATTCATCAAAATCCTGAAAATTTGCCAATTATTTTTCAGTTGAAAATTCATTAAGTTTTTCTTTTCCACAACTGTCTACCTTGTAGACCGGAAAGTAACATACGTTTTATAGGATTTTAAAATTAAAATTGAATTTAAACATTTTTACGATATTAGATTTTTGCCTGTAATTAACGAATTTTCATCATGGCATCAATCGATTTTTGATATTTTGTTGTAATTTAATTCACAAACGAACAACCATAGACACTCGAAATGTTCATCAAATATTTATACTATTAACATTGTCTATAGGTTTATACTTGGTAAAATGATCGAACTATTTTAACTGTTTTCGGGTCATTTATAGTCATGTAACATTTTTAAATTTTGTAAATTAATGGTCTCTTAAAAATATTCATTTTATTATTAGTAAGTACCAATAATTACGGTAAGTTGTTGTAAATTTGACAAAAACAATGCATTTATAATATTATAAATATTTAATTAATATAATAGAGTTTATTTGTATCGTATTATATTATTGTTATTAACCTTTGAGGCAATACCAGCTAGCTTACCACAAAATAGTGTGAGAAGGTACATAGTGTAAACATAGGTAAAAACTTAAAATAAATAAACTTCTATAATATTCTTAAAGTCAAGGACTTTATTAAATTGTGTCAAGGAAATAAAACTAGGCAAATAATATAATACAGTGAAACCTTTGAATAGCGGACACTCTTGGTCGCCGAAATTTTGTCCGCTATTTAGAGGAAAACATTTTTTTCAATAAATAAATAAATTCAATAATTTTATTTTATATTATTTTTACATTAATTAAATACACGATAAAAATAAAAACTATCTAACATTTCTGAAAAAAAATCTGTTACTTTAGTTTGTTTACTAATTGCAGGCGTAATTATTTCGTGTGTTAAGGCATTTTTTAATGGGACTATGTTTGAGTACAATGAACTATTCAGTATTCTGTATCTCGAGAGAAGAAATATATTTACGTATGCCTTTTACTGCTAGCAATGCCAAAGCGTTCGTATATTGGCATCATAAACACAACTAAACGCACATAGGACAATGCATTAGTTACAAAATTACATTGACACAATAAAGTGACTGAACGGAAAAGATAAGATTTTCATATACAGTTTAATAATGTACACATAAGATAACTTAATAATTGAGGTTTTAATTCAGGTATTCCAAAATAATTCTTAATTTAAGATAAAATTTATTAATATCAGTGTCATAAAAGTGTCCGTTATTTAGAGTGTCCTGGATTTAGAGGTTTTATTATACATAAATAGTGAAAATGTCCCCGTCCCCGAAAAAACGTCCGCTATTTGGAGGAGTCCGCTATTTAGAGGTGTCCGTTAAGGGAGGGTTCACTGTATTAGGATCGTATGGAAATTGTATCGTACGTCGATAATTAATTAGTATCTACAATATTACTGTTCATTTTACCTTTTCGTTTATCCACGAAGCTGCAACGATGATTGACAACATAAATATTACTATTTGTAATTTAAAAAAGTGTAATGGTAAACTGCGTATAATAATTTCTAATACATTTAGTGGTACGAATTCATGCTTAATGGTTATATAAAATGTATACATCATATCAATAAAATTGAATACAAAGAAGATCAAAAGCATTAAACCGTAACCCAAATTGAATATTTTTAGGATTTCAGATAGCTCAGCGTGTAACATTCTAATGTTTTCCATCAACATAACTATTTCAAGATTAGTCCATTTACCGGGAACGGCGATTAATCCAACAGGAAGGCATTTCCATAAATTATTTATTGTTTGAAATCTGTGACCAATATTGATGAGATAAAAAGATACTGTAACAATAACCACATAGTCGGTAATATATGGTACACCAAAAAAATATACGGTAACAATGTAAATGTCGACTTTCCTCGGTGGCCATACGTAAATATCATACAGTTCAAATCCAATAAAATATATGCATAATGAAATAATAATATAATTCCAATTTATTTTACTTAGTGACCATTGGCGATCCTCCAATATTACCGTCGAAAGTAATTTAATTTTTTGATCAAATTCTATGATGGCATTGATCAATCTAAAAAATGTAAAAACATCAAAAATATATACCAAAATATTTATATCAAGTTTTAAAATGTAATGCATAATTATAAGTAATTTAAAAATAAATAAAAGTAGTTTTATCAATCTCACTTTATCGTCCATTTTTCTGATATTCTTCCTGCAATAATGACTGCCCAAAATTTAATTAAACGATATTCATTTATGTAATAAAATGCATTCGCGGTGTGAACGATGTAAGTACATATTAATAACACAATCATACGCAAAATTTCAAGTAATGAGAAATATGATGAGTTTATATTTTTGATTAGGAATCCATCAGGTTCCAAAGTATATGAAACGTCAATTAACCCTAAAATCTTGCCTAAACTTAAAATCGGCCTGAGGTTTGTTTTGAAAACAGTCGACATTTCAGTATTATTTTTTCTAGGTAACTAGCTCAGAAGGAAAATGAAATTATTGATTGAAAAAAGTAAATATTTTAAAATTAAAATTATAACAGGCGTTTTAAACGATGATTTAAATAATAGATAGGTGGGCTCCGAATTAAAATGTATGAAATTATGTATTATTTATTCAAATATCGGCATCCTACAATTACGTATAAATGTATAATATGATGATTAATATTTTATATTAAGTTCATGTTTGTACATTTAATTATATTACTAAATAATTGAGCGTAGGTAGGTAATCATTTTAGAACAAAAATCACATTTTTGGATACATGGATACAATCATATTAACTATTTAATTAATATAAAAATGGTTAAGTTCAGTTATATTCACATTTTAAAGATAACTGTACTGACTGAAAAGGGAATAGTGTTTATTTTGGCCCGCCCATATAATTGACTATAATAAAACCATTGATTTTAGAATATAATAATAATTTATTCTAAAATCAATGATATAACGCATTTGTATACATTATACCCAAGGTTAGGTTACATAACCGTGGTATGTAGTATGATATTATCAATGTTGTAATTAACCTTTGTGTAAATAAATCTTTATTACAGCTTTTAAAATTGTTGTTATCATATCACATTCATACAGTGACTTGAGACGAATTTTACACTCGGCAAATTTCTAATACAATTTTATACCAATTGGATAATTAATCTATGAAATTGTATCATAATATTAGATACAATTGTGTAATGTGAAATCGGGCTATATTACTTCAGTGATTTCATACTGCCGTCTATTGGTTGGAATTTATTTATTGAAAATATTAACTCAATTCATAAATCAATATTATAATATAGATTTGAAGGTCCGAAGAGGAGAAAATATTGTCACGGGATTAAGGAGTGTGAAGTAAAAACTATTTAGCATACGAATAGACATATAATAATATTGAGTGCAACGAATTATTTTAATCTTATTTCCAGTTGTTCAGCATTCAATGTTTAATGTTTATGCTTGACTACATTATTGCACAACCCTTATTTACACCTCGGACGCATTGTTGTCGGAGACTATAAAGCAATTACAATTGAAAGTCCGAACATTTTTACCCAACAATGATTCTATAGTGAACGTAATATTAAATATAGACGACGAACTAACAAATTTAATTTCAGAGACAATAACTGTGAAAAGGGATAAAAAAAACGTTGATGGTATAAATTATACTATACACCTATATCGATAGATATTAGCGAAGTAAAAACTTAATTGTCATCATTAGAAACTACTAGAGAGTGATATACTATAAAATAACAAATAATAATATTCATTCTTTATACTTCTGGAAACACATATTATATAAGTACCTATACTATGAGTAATTCTTTCGTTTAGGAAAAGCTGAAAAATCAATTTTAAGTACCTACAACTTACAAGGCACTTAAAAGTGAATCGAAATTCTCGAAAGTAATATAATATGCCGTGCAAAATATTAATACAATTTTTGAAATTTTACATGAACGGTCAAGCCCAGTTTGAAAGATAGCAAGATGGTCATTCTCCTACAAAATCCAGGTCGTACAATAATTTGAAAAAACGATTTTCCCTCTTTTTTGTGGTTAAAACTTACATTTTAGTAATTTTATTTTTGCAAATATGTTATTTACCATTACCAATCGGCAATCATATTAACTTTCTATCTTAGTTTTGAAATTCACTCGGAAATCATTTTGTCGGAAAATTCAAAATCAAGTAAGAAAATTATAGAAATTACCAGAAACAGTTCTTAAGCCAGCACCCATAAGATAAAAAAAAAAATTAACATTTTTAGGATAAACTCGTTTGACTACACTCAGTGCGTTCCTTAAGAGAAACTGATACCTACTATGTATCATTGTAGAGGTAAGATATACTTAAACTTCGATTGAAATCTAGGAAATTATAGTAGAGTTTTACTTAGTCTTAAGCTTTAGCTTAAGTTGATATCGAATATCTGCCCTGAGACCTGAGAGGATGTCAGCGCAATATTAGTTTTCTCTTTCAGACCCAACACAGATAATATTTTTGAAAGTATGATATAATATCGGTTTTTTATTTTGATTTGCATTATACTTTGTATTCCAGTTTCAAAATAAAATGAAAAGATTTTCTTGAAAGCAGATCTTTATTTCCCGTAACTTATATCAAAAGCCTTAAAATTTTAAATGACAGTTTTTAAAATTACCTAATAAAAAAAAGGTTAGGTTAGACCCATTTTTTATAGGCTATAGGTTTATAGACATTATATTATATTATATGGTTGAGCAATGGTTTAATAAGGGGTACAGTATTCGTAGTCGTGTGTACCCTTGATATATTTTTTTTGAATACATAATATAGGTATGTTGTATGTAGATGAGACGGTGGATAATCGGGAATACACATATTTTCTATAGGCTATAGGTTATATTCTAATATATTATATTCTATAATATATTCTATAATTATATTCTAATGTCTATAAACCTAAAGCCTATAGAAAATATGAGTATTCTGAATTATCCACGAGCGGATTATCCATCGTCTCGTCTACATACCTGTATGTATTCAAAAAAAATATATCAAGGGTACACCAGACTACGAATACTGTACCCCTTACTAAACCTTAGCTCAACGATACAAATTAAATGCTCTCTACTCCTATACCCAGCAATAATACGACCGTTAGTAACCTACGCATGCCCTGTATGGGCAGATGCCTCAAAAACAAAAATTACAAACCCTTCAAAATAAATTCTTAAAAATAGCCCTAAAAGCCCCGTGGTTCATGAGAAACAAACAACTACACAATGACACGGGCCTACCACACCTATCTACCCGGATAACACGACAATTTTCACGAAAAACTTTTTACGGAGTAACGGAGCACTTCACTGCAAAATCGGTAGAAGATTCGCCAATCTAAGACTTAACACTTAAACCTCGGCTATCACAGGATATCCTTCTAGAACCCAAAGATGACACTTCATTCTCAGATTCTGACTTAGATTTATAAGCTAACCAAAATAATTCATTGTAATTTTGTAAATTTTTGTACACATAATATTGTAATCATATTAATCGTAAATCGTAAGTTAGGTTATACTGTACCTAACATTGTAAAAATACCTGATGTAGTGATGTATTGACACAATTAAATTAATAAATAAATAAAAAAATATACATATGTACATTGTACATACATATATTTATATTGTAAATCATTATCGGTTTAATTGGGTGATAATTTGTGATATCCGATTACTCGACAACGACGTAAAATACAATACGCTTATTAATTTATAATTTTTATTTATGGAAATAAAAAAAATTTAATTTCCAACTTAATTTTTATTATTTTTTTAATTTTGCGGATTATCCGCGAAATTCGTTTATCCGTGGATGTCCTGCCACCCTATTCCGCGGATAATCGAGAGCACACTGTATTAGATTTTATGAATACTAGGTGCATGTAACTATATTTGAACATTTACTTATAAGAGGATTTTAACTATTTTCTTACCCAGTCTTTGAGATTCAGTATTATTTAACATCTGTAAAATAGCAGGTTGATTTTTCATCTATATTAATGTTGTTACTCCAGTCATTATTAATACCAGTATCTGTAAGACATGAATATAATATGTTAATTTTTATAATTTATAGAATTGTGTTTAAATGTATTTTACTATTTTAGTCTAATATTGCAAGTAATCAATACATCATTAAATACCGAAATATTCCACCTTAAAAGTAGTTTTATTAATCTCACTTAATATTTGAATATGATGAGTTTATATTTTTAATTAGTAATCCATCCGGTTCCAAAGTACATGAAATGTTAATTAACTCTAAAATCTTGCCTAAAAATAAAATAGGCCCGAGGGTCCAGTTTTGAAAACAGTCGACATTTTGATATTAGGTTTTCTACGTAACTAGCACAGAAGGGAAATTGAATTATTGACTATAAAAAGAAAATATTTTAAAATTAAAATTATTACAGTCATACCTAACTCATAATAAACGATGATTTACATATTAAATAGGTAAGTACCTAACTAAGTTTATGAAAATATTATTAATTCAAACATTGAAATTATAAAATTACTTATATGATAGATGATAATCAATATTTCATACTTAGTTCATGTTTGTACATTTAATTATATTACTAAAAATATGACAAAATAACGAATTTGTTTGCATTGTAACTAGTCACTATCTACCTATATGTTACAATGATTTTATTCTTTTAAGTTTATGACTTTTATAAAATAAAACATATATTTTATTTCATTTTTTTAAGAGTATTAACATTTCTTATAATTTTAAATTTATTTATAATTTATGTTTTTGAAGTGTTTGTAAGATGTAATAGATTATTACCATAAGTTTCTTTTAGTAAATATCTATAAGGTATAACATATAGCAATTAACACCAAAATGATTTTACTACGTAACATTTCAATCACGACAAATTTAAGAATTCAATATTAATAGGATAAGATGCCACACACATGTCACAATTTTATTTAAAGCAGTAAATATTTCCTTTTGTCCATCTTCTAGGGTAGATAATATTCAATATAACATTTACCTACTTTAAATTAAAGTTGTAAAATCAAAAACTAGCATAACTTTCAAATGCCCACATAATAAATAAAACAAGCATATACAGATTAGATACTTTCCTACTTTTGTTTTTTACTTACTAGGCATAGTATCTTTATAATTAACTCTTTTTACAATAAAACATATGCGCGTTATTAAAAAAACTCAGACAATGGCTTTAGAAAATTCTTGCTTATGACTTATGAGTTATGATCAACACAACCTACCAATTGCCAAAACTAGACTTGGTATGGTAAAATTAACATTGATTATATGTTATTATTATAAATATTTATTATATAATATATTTTATTATATACCTATTATCATTGTACCTACTAACCTACTTAATGTATTATTTTAGTTATACTATTGTTCTATGGTTATACTAAATATTTTTTTATAATTTTTATTATAATATGCACAGTAATTATTATGGTATTATCGGTGTATTGTTTTGATCAGCCTTGGGTGTTTGTAGCAATATTATATTGTTTGTTGCCACAAAAAGGAACGTAATATGAAAAAAAATATATAGGAAAACCTAGGATCCATTTCTTAGATTTATAAAATGTTATACTTAAATATGCAGAATAATATGAATACCACACTAAATTATTGGGCTTTTTCAAGTTCTGACGGCAGATAATAAATAACCGATAGGTTCGAAAAAACAGGAGAATATTATATTTATTGCTCAAAATTTCTAAATACAATAATTTGACAGTTATTTATTAATCTGTTGAATTTTAGATAAGTAATATAGGCTGACCCCTGAATCATTTTTCGTTTACAATAACTTTATATCATTGGTTTCAAATTTAACACACTACACATCCATTCCAATGACCCTTCTAACCTCTGTACAATAGAGCTGAGTTCCCACTTTCAGACTTTTTTTACTTTTCACTTCCAAAGTAGAAACTAGATTTTACTGTTGAAAAATTTACCGAAGTAAATAATTGAAGTATTTTTACTAAGGTGATGAGACAAAAAAAAAAACTATAATAAAAAAAATAAATCATTTGTAAAATAAATACATTTATTGCTTTTCTCTAAATCTAAAATGTTTTTGCCAATAATCAAATTTTCTAGTCCAAAATCTAAACTCCAAATTTATAGGATACTCTAAACCAATATCCAAGGTGATACAACTTTGAGGCTCAGCTAAAAATCAAACTGAAACAATATTCAAAGTATTTAAAATCATAACATTTAACAAAATAACAAATGCTTTACTCTTCATCTCTAACTTAACCCATCATAATTTAATTAATTGAGAATAAAGCAGTAATTATTTTCTTATTTATAAACAATTTTGCTCTTGACAATAAAACCACCACAATTCATTTACAAATATCCTCGCACTTCCTGGAAATCCTCGACCCTCGTCGCAGACTCAAAAGACAGCATTGTAGTAGTGATATTTTATTTAACATTCCCCAATTCTAACATTTTAATTTCAAACCAAGTGTTTCTAATGAGTGGCTTTTTATTTAAGGAGCTATTATAATTATATTTAATGTTTTTCTTTCATCGTATATTCAAATAACATGAATCTGCAAACATATATTCTGGAGTGGGCAACTCAAAGTTATTAGAGAGGCAATTTTTAGAAGATTAAAATCTAGCAGCCAGAGAAGTTTAGGAAGTTTAGGAAGTAAAAAAAAAGGGGTCACACAAAACATATATTTTAATTTGTGTTAAATAGATTATGGAGTATTGATGATATACTTTAAAATTGTATGATGTAGGCAGCCAGTTGCCCGCCCCTGTTATAAGGTAAAAAATAACATACTATATAATATTATATATAAATGTTTAATTTATTTTATTAGTCATATAAAAACAAGTCTGTTAGTTACATTCTTTATGCAATTAAATTTATTAACTTGAATTTTAAATAAATTTATTCGCAAATAAAAAGCACAAGTTTATTCCCTAGAACATTGAGTACATATTAAATTACATATAAACCATTTACATTTTAGTATATTTTTAGTTACACAGCCTCAAATGTTAAAAAAGTATCAATTTCCACAAAAATTGTAAATTAAAAGGTATTAAAAAAAATACATAATATAACATGTTTATTCATTTATGCATTTTTTGAGCTTTAGATGCAGTACTTATTGAAGATTTTATAGCTGGACCAATGGAGCGATTGAATATGGTACTAGTTATAGATAGAACAGGTGCAAATAGTTTCAATCTTTAAGTAAAGAACAGTATTAGTAACATTTGAAAATAGTATATTGTATACAAGGTGATTTTTTAAGCATCCTCACCCCATTTTCATGCTTAAATTATGCATATATTCAAATTCTGATTTTTGGAATTTTTAAGTGTAGTTAAATACGATATTTTTGTGTACTTAAATTTTTCACAATTCAACATTTAAGGATTATCTTGTGGCGATACCAACTTTTGTTTTTCAAATGACAACCTATATGTTTTAAAGCAAAATATGATTCAGATAATTTTTCTGAAAATGTTGACGTATTGTAATCAAAAATTGAGCGAAAACTTCCTCAGTTATTCTTCTTTGCATACTAAGGAATAAGGATAATAGATATAAAATATTTGTCAATAATTACTACCTAACCAAATTATAATTATTATTACTATCCTTATTCCTTAGTATGTAAAGAAGAATAACTAAGAAAGTTTTTGTTCAAATTTCGATTACAATAGGCCAACATTTTCAGAAAAATTATCCGAATCATATTTTGTTTTGAAAAATATAGGTTGTCATTTGAAAAACAAAAGTTGGTATCGCCACAGGATAATCTTTAAATGTTGTGAAAAATCTAAGTACACAAAAATATCGTATTTAACTACACTTCAAAATTCCAAAAATCAGAATTTGAATACATGCATAATTTAAGCATAAAAATGGGGTAAACATGCTTAAAAAATCAACATGTATAATATTTTATATTAATGAAAACTACTCTCACCTAAATATTTTAATTTTAGACGGACTAACTTCATTAGCACTGATAATAAACACAGGAAATAGAATTGAAAATAGACAACCGCTAGAGACAAAAAAAAATAGCGTTAAGTAAAATATTAAATTATTTTAGAAAATAAAAGTAATGAAATATTTACCTAATAATATATGATTCTGGCAAAGATGTGATAACTGCTAGTGGAAGTCCAAATCCAAGAAAATATGGCCAACAGTTTTCAATGATAGATAATCTTGAGTTTAGTTCCATACCCATATTACACCATTTATATTCAAATGAGTATAATGAATAAAGTAATGATAAATGCAAAATACTGAGAACATTGCTAAGAATTGTTGATGGCACCATACTTACTAAATAACTCTAAAATACACATTATTCAAAAGATAATAACTTGAATAGAAATATTGACTTACTTGAATGAGAAATAAGAACTGAACGACTATACTGAACGAAAAGTCTGCTATCACTTTACTAATTCGTGTCAACTGTTGTGGATCACCTTTTTTTTGTTTATACGCTATGTCTGCGATATCCTAAACAAACCCTATATTATAGTTAAGTATACAACCAAGTATAAAATTATTTAGAATATTTATGTATAAATATATATTACTTGAAACCATAGACTGTTAATTATTTTGCTCAGCAAAAATATTGGTAAGATCCATACAGCTCCAAATGTCCATGACAATAGTGATCGGGTCCATAACCAAATATTTTCATTAAAATGTCCAAATGTTATTGACATTATGTAGCCTAAAGAAGGTAGAATAACATATTCAAATATAACTATACTTAAACAAAATATTCCACCATTTAATGTACAACATTGAATTATTCGTTGTAACATTTTTTGATCTCTGAAAAAAAAGATAATCAACAAATTTAAAATTAATATTTTTTATTCATTTATTAAATAACACATCATAATTATTATAATATTATAAATTATTATTCATTATTCTAAGCCATAGGTACAATATATTAATGATCATTTGAAAAAAAAATTATTTTCAAACTACAGATGAATGATACATTTCAGATAGGACAATGAATTTATAATTTAGTTACATCATTTATTTGTCATATATTATATAAAACTTATCAGAACTTATCAATAAGAATCATAATGGAGTGAATGGAACAATAAAATTGGAATATATTATGCTTTTTTATGGTGTGCAAAACCTAATTAACTGTACAAATAAACATTCAACTATATTCAATAGGTAACAATTCTTAATATTGATAAATTAAATAATACTTTACAGATTAATAACACAATAATTTAGGAACTTTTTAATATTGTGAACAATTTATCAGGCATTATATAATAAGAAATATATACAGATAACCCAATCTAGATTTTAGTAAGTACTATAAGTAGTGTTTTTTATAATTTATAATTTTTTTACATACTTTGGTGAGTTAACTGGTCTGCCAACTTTCTTTGAACGCTTGTTTTGCACAAACAATACAGTGACACCTTTGAAACTGTCCATAACACCCTTGCACACCGTTCTGGATAATGCCTGTAAAATGAATATTATGCTGTTAGTTTCAAAGAAGTATCTAGAGGAATACATTTATGTATACGGCAGATCACCAGTTAATAACTCACTGGTATATCATCCATTTTCGAAATAGATCTGTAGGTGATTGTCCAAATTTAGAAAACAATAATAATTATGATGAATAAATGGAGCACCAGAAATAAAAATCTGTTGCGTTAGCAAGGACAGTGGAACCTTTATATTATTATTGAAATATCGACATAGTTATTATTTAAAATTATGATCGATCTTGTTTATAGCACTTGGCAGCAAAATATTCAGTGTATCAGCTAATTTTTCTTGACGTCCGACAACTTTTTTTCTACTTTAAATTTGTACATTGTATTACATTATTTTATGCATTAAATATTAATGCATTATTTAATTATTATTTCATTCGTTATCACTTATAATCACTAAATACTAGTCGTAATCACCATGAATCACGGACTTACACAAGGTGTATCGAAACATTCGAAACCTTAGATCATAACACAGATATAGATATACAATATTTAATATAATTCATCTGTGATCAAAATATATCAATAGTAATATACACCTTGTTTTTTACCTTATAAATACATATATTAATATGATCTAAGTTTTTTATCGTTTGGTCTTATCGCAAAGTAGATAATGGGTCTTACAATCACGAAAATAGATAATAATTACGCACATCAAATATCAATCCAGCGCTGCCAACCCTGCAGGTGGTTGGCTAGACCACCAAATATCATCGATTATTGTTTGGTCAATCGCGTTTTTATTCGTTTTCGTGCATTTTTATTAATTTTACTAATATTATAATAGGTAAACCTATTTAATATTTACTATAACGAAACATATTAATTTATTACAATAAATAATAATATCGTTCGGTTTTTTCACTGTCGAGACCGCTCTCCCTTGTAAACCGCTAACGCTCAGAGTCGCGATCGAAACGTGTTCGTTGTTGTCTTACCGAGTAGGATAGTAAGGGTGCGTAAGGCGACGAATAATAATAATAATAAAAATACCGGGAACTGACCATTAATCTGTTGACGGCCGCTCACCATGACCACTCACGCGGATATCGAGGCTCAAATCCGCGAGATTCAGCAGCGCAAAAAAGATGAGAAACAGAAAGACGATGACAGCGACGTGGGACTCGGGGCTTCTGGATTTTTTGACCAAGACATCTACAACGGTGGTGGAAAGTTCGAGGGTTATGTTACGTCTATTGCCCCCAACGACGAGTACGATGTGAGTACGCACACTACTCGACACACGAGATTTAGTAAATTAAAGCTCATGTAATTCCCAAGTCCGAGGTGTACCTTTGGGTGTAATGTTGTGACTGACCGTCGTTGTCCACAATCTTATGTAGCGTTTTTTGAGACCAACTGAAGTTGTTAGTTTTTATTTACAACATACAGGAGTAATTTATAGTTTTGTCTATAGGTCTATTAGTCTAGGTATTGTATAAATTACTTGTTGTCAAATTCAAGTCTTAACAGATATTACAATTAATTGGTTCATGCTTAAATAAAATTAAGTTTATAGGTGATTGTCATTATATTAATAGGCTACATTTTTTGCTCTATAATCAAATTAGTTACCTTGTTTATTACCCAATAATAATAATTGTGCATCAATGTTTAGTCAGAGTTTTGTTATTAATGCATATTATAATGCTTCTTATCTCTTGTCATTATTTCATTAAATTATACCAACTAATAGTATAACATCACTGTAGTATGGTCTCAATTGAATATATATTCTAATAGAAAGATTAATCAAAACTTTTGTAAAAGTATTTTAATATAATTTACCAGTAGGTATTGAATTCAATGTTAAAAATGTGTTGTGGTAAATGTCATATCTTCTAGATTACCTACTTAAAACATGCTAGTCAATAAACAGAGAAGTATTTAGTATTTTTTACTCTAAGGTTTGCACATTAAAAATTAGGACCCACAAGAATTTTGAAAGCCATAATGAATTTACCTACCTATGGACAATTTTTTTTACAATCTTAACAATTCCTATAGTGGTAATTGATCAAAAATGTTATCAAAGTAAAAGAAGTACCTAGACTTCGTAGGCATAATGTTGTTATGATACTCCAGTAACATGCTATTAAGGCTAACGCATTTTATCTATTCTTAGATATTTATGTAATTATTAGTACACTTATTAACAAATATATTCATTGAATGCTCAAAATTATTTTCAAGAAAGTTCAAGGATACTGAGCAATGAGCATAGACACAAATTTAGACAGCTAGTTAATTCATTTATTATGTCTATGGTACTACGTCTATTGCCATTTTAAACGTTATCTAATAGTAATATGTAGAGAGCCTTAATAATATATTAATATATTATTTATTACTTTATATTTATTATTAAGGCTCTCTAGTAATATGTTCCTTATACACCTAATTTATATAGGTAGTTTATTTTATTTGTTATTTGATGTAGATAACCTGTTTTTGATTTATTTTTGTTTAATTATTTATTCTACACATTTTTGATATTATTTTATAACTAGTTTGAGCATTATAAACAATATATTTTAATACTTGTCCCTACTACTTACTACATGTCTATTGCAAATGTATGAACTTTTAATTTGGCTGTATACTAGCTTATATCATATTTTATATTTTAGGATGAAGATATTGATGATCAACATTATAGAAATAAAAAGCCAATAACAGCACCAGCAGCTGCTCTTAAAGAAATTGCACAGGTAACTTAGTGAATTCTTTATTTTTTAACATTTTATTATTTGTAATCACTTTGCATGGGTTTAATTTAATTAAAAAATATTTTTATTTATTTTAGGCTAGAGATGATGAAGATGACTATGATCCTTTTGCTGAAAGAAAACGTCTTCAAAAAGCAACATCAGACAAAGATGATGAGACACGTCAAGTTCGTAGGCCTATGGTTATATCGCCAGAACGTATTGACCCATTTGCTGAAGGTAATATTAATTTATTGTTTTATTTAAACTGAACTACCATATTTTATATTATCGTTGAAGTCAGATTATGGATACTTATTCTGTATTGGAGTGGGATTATGTTATACAATTATGGCAACTGTGAATACAATTTTTCATATAAAAAATAATTTGTCTTTTTCAGGTGGGAAAACTCCAGATGTTGGGTCCAGAACATACTCACAAATTATGCAGGAACAAAAGTTAAAGGGTGAAGAGAATGAAGTACGAAAAACAATTATTGATAAAGCTAAAGATGGTAATCTTAAAACTAATGGAGACTCTAAAGGTACAGTCAGGAAAAGAGGACGATGGGATCAAGTTGTGCAAAATGGTGATTCTTCAGGGGTGCCGGCCAAAAAAAAAACTAATTCTACTCCTTGGGAAGAAGTAAGTACTTACCTAAATATTTTGAAAAAAATAAATCATAGCTTGGTATGGATTATTATTACCATTATTTACTTCAAGTACGTATAATTTTACTAATGAAATCTCAATGTATTTAATTGTAGACACCCAAAGGAGGCTTATCACGTTGGGATGAAACTCCTGGACCTACTAAAATGGGAGCAGAAACACCTGGTGCTACACCTGGTCAAAGCACTAGAATGTGGGATGCGACACCGGGGCATACTACTCCAGCTGCAGGAGCTGCAACGCCTGGTCGTGATACTCCAGGTCATATAGGAGCTACACAAACATCAGTACGGAGAAATCGTTGGGATGAAACTCCTAAAACCGAAAGAGGTATTTTTAAATTATTAAAATAAATCAAAAGAAACATATTGTTTTAACTAATAATGTTCCAGCTACACCTGGTCATAATAGTGGATGGGCTGAAACTCCCCGTACAGATCGTGGAGGTATTGATTTAATTCAAGATACTCCAACGCCATCAGCGAGTAAAAGACGTTCTCGTTGGGATGAAACACCTTCACAAATGACTCCATCAGCTACACCTGGTAGTCTTACACCTGGAGGAGCAACTCCAAAAGTAGGAGTTACACCATCTGGAGCTTCAATGACACCTACGCCTGGTGGTATGACACCTGGTGCTACTCCTATGACACCCATGGTACCCCGTACTCCTGTACTTTCAAATAGTGCTGCTACACCAATTGGACATACTGCCATGGGTATGGCAACACCAACTCCAGGTAAATACAAAAACTTCAATTATCAAATTTTAATACCTACTTTACATTATATTTAATTATTTGTTTAGGTCATTTGTTGTCAATGACCCCGGAACAATTACAGGCTTATAGGTGGGAACGTGAAATTGATGAGCGCAATCGTCCATTGACTGACGATGAGTTAGATGCAATGTTTCCACCTGGTTATAAAGTACTTCAACCACCTGCTGGATACATACCAATTCGAACTCCAGCCCGTAAACTAACTGCTACGCCAACACCTATAGCTGGCACACCAACTGGGTTTTTCATGCAAGAATCTGTTGACCGTCCATCTAAATCACAAATAGTTGACAATCAACCACCTGGTAATCTTCCTATGTTAAAACCTGAAGATGCCCAGTATTTTGATAAATTGTTAATGGATGTTGACGAAGAAAGTTTAACATTAGAAGAGCAAAAAGAAAGGAAAATTATGAAATTGCTATTAAAAATTAAAAATGGTACACCACCAATGAGAAAAGCTGCCTTGAGACAAGTTACAGATAAGGCTAGAGAGTTGGGTGCTGGTCCATTATTTAATCAAATTTTGCCTTTACTTATGTCTCCTACACTTGAAGACCAAGAACGACATTTGTTGGTTAAAGTTATTGATAGAATTTTGTATAAACTTGATGACTTGGTCAGACCGTATGTCCATAAAGTAAGTCATATTTAATTAATATTTTATTTTAAGTTTCACAAGTATGTTTTGAAAAAAACCGTTAAATAGTCTTCCTACTGTAGCAATACTCTAGTATGACTATAAAAATTAAAAAGAAACTCGAATTGTTGATTATACAAAGATTATGCTATACTTAAAAACTTGTTAAAATTAAGTAATTGCACAACTCTACTCAATAAAAATATTAAATAGATCAGCTGGTAGAAATAAAATCCTGAACAATTGATTAGTGTTCATTTTTTTCTCTCTAGATTTTGGTTGTTATTGAACCACTCTTAATTGATGAAGATTATTATGCTCGTGTAGAAGGACGTGAAATTATTTCAAATTTAGCTAAAGCAGCTGGTTTGGCTACTATGATATCTACTATGAGACCTGATATTGATAATATTGATGAATACGTGCGTAATACTACAGCTCGTGCATTTGCTGTAGTTGCTTCAGCATTGGGTATTCCATCACTTTTGCCATTTTTAAAAGCTGTATGTAAAAGCAAGAAATCATGGCAAGCTCGTCATACAGGTAATAATTAACATACTGCGGTATTGTTGACATTTTTATCTTATACTTTGATGTAATTAAATTTAGGTATAAAAATTGTGCAACAAATTGCAATCTTAATGGGATGTGCAATTCTACCTCATTTGCGTTCGTTGGTGGAAATTATTGAACATGGTTTGGTTGATGAACAACAAAAAGTTCGAACTATTACAGCCTTAGCTATAGCTGCGTTAGCTGAA